GATCAGACTGCTAGCTCAGATCGGTGAGACCAGGAATTGGTCATCTTGATTGGTCTGAGTGAGCCACATACCAGAGCAGACTTGCAATCCTCTTGGTTGGATCCGACTAATTTTTAGGTGTAACGGTAACTCAAGATGGTTAGATGGAGAAATTTTTTATTTTCTGAAAACTGTGTTGATAATAAACCATTTTTTACTAGGATCCTGACCTCTTAGGTGGATTTATGGAACTTTATAACCTTCTTTTATTTTTTATTTTTTGGAATATTTTAAGGCATGGTCTGAACAGTTTTATGCCTTCCGGTGCAGTTGTTTTGTAGTACTTTGGTATAGGTAAGTACCAAGTAGATATTATAAAACTACACTAGAAGTTTATAAGGTCCAAAAAGCAAATTTTAATATGATAACAGAATTATTATAGATTATAATACAACAAACAAGAATTGTTGACTACATGAATGATTTAGGTGACAAACAATGGAACAGAGTACAATTTGTTAGTATAAATTGTTTACATGTTATAAGTTTTTTTTCCTTCAAATTTTATTATATAGACCCGGTTATGTGACTCTGGTCAAGACGAGTGACCTAGTACTTTACCTGTTCTACTTTCGTTTTTGGGTCGTCCCAAAATAAGTGTCATCTTTCCATTTTTGGAAAGGAAAATGTGGTTCACAACATTTCACTTTATTATACTCAAATCTCAACCATAACTTTTACCTTTTCAACCACTTTATTAAAAATTGTGCCAAAATCAAAGGAGACACATAAAATGGGACGGAGGTAGTACTAGTTTTGACTATAACTATTTTCATATTTCTTATTTCAGTAAATTAGAATTATTTTCAGTTAGTTTTTTTTTTTTTTAATTCTTGATACTTTCATGTGATATGAACAACATCTAAAATACTCTGTAATTGAAAATAACCAAATAAAATTGAGGACATTCATGAAAAACTGAAGTGTATAGTGTTAATTTCTCACGCATAAAAATGTTAGTATTTCTACTTTTAACTCAACTAATGCTTCTCCTTTACCTGCCTGAAGGTACTGAGTATGAGTAGGTTGGGTGGGGCTAGTGCAGTGGCACAACTTGTTGCAGACATTCCACTAGAGTCTGTTGAGGTAAATAAAGTCCCTGCTTTATAATTATTACTAACCTGCTCATAGGTTTCACCTACCCATTATCTACAGGGATGGATGATATACTTCATTGTATATAGATAATTAAAATATACTACCCCTTTCAAAAAAAAATATATATACTACCTCCATCCCTAAATGTTTGTCCTAGTTTGACTTCACAGATATTAATGAAATGAATTTGACTTTGTAGCGACACTATTTGCCACTGTTTTGCACTGTTTGACATTGTTTGATAAAGATTTGTTTGCCAAATAAGGAAAGAAAAAAGTAGGACAAACATTTTGGGACATCCATTTTGGGAAAGTAGGACAAACATTTAGGGACGGAGGAAGTACTTCTCAAAGATAAAAAGATATTTCCCAAACACAAGTATTGAGTAATATTCTAAAGCTGAGGAAGCCAACATGTATAATGTATGTTTTTTTCTTAAATATTACTACCTCCGTCCCGTTAAAGGTTCTCATCTAGGAAGCACGGAAACTCTCCATGGCTCACGTTTCCACGTTTCGGAAACTCGGAAGCGTTTCGGAAACTCGGAAACTTCAAATGGGAAAAGGTGCAAATAGGCCCATGTACTAACCAAAAAGGGTCAAATAAGCGCTTATTTAGGAGGTTCTGTCTGGCCGTCGTCATTTGGGGTGGTTCCCGGTGGAATTTTTTGATGAATTTTTTTGAGCATTTTATTCATCAAGTCTAGTTTACGCATACCAAATTTCAGCTAAAACTTCAACCGGGAAGGCATTCAAATGAATTCTTGAAGATAATTGCGCTTCTAACTGCGCAGTTATTTTCAAGAATTCATTTGAATGCCTTCCCGATTGAAGTTTTAGCTAAATTTTGGTATGAGTAAACTAGACTTAATGAATAAGATGGTAAAAAAATTTCATCAAAAAATTCCACCGGGAACCACCCCAAATGACGACGTCCGGACAGAGCCTCCTAAATAAGGGTTTATTTGACCTTTTTTGGGTAGTACATGAGCCTATTTGCACCTTTTCCCACTTCAAATTACCGTTTCGGGGCCGTTTCCGTAATTAAGAAAAATTTGGAAACCTGTTTCACTATGCTTCGGAAACCTCGGATTCCAATTTTTTTTTCTTTTTCAAAAGATTCTGTGGTGGAAAATAATTTTTTATAGTGAATTTTTGTGGTATTTCTCAGCGGCAACACTTGTTACATTTCGTAACGCAATGTATTCTAGAAATGTATTACTCCGTACATTTTATGTTTAATAATGTACTAATATGAAATAATATCTAAATTCGAACATGTAGAGTGATTTTATTATTTGGTTACTAAACAAATTATATTAAAAAAACATGTGCATATGGAAAAACTTGTGTACATATATTAAAAAATATTTATAAATATATCCTTATATTTTATAATATTTACGCGTTTCCCCCACGTTTCGTGTCCTATATTTTTTAGAAATTACGTTTCTCGCGTTTCCCGTTTCCGTGCTAATTAGGTTCTCATTGCAAAATGACACGGTTATTTAGACATTAATTAAATAAGGTAACTTGAGAAATAATTTTAATGATTATATAATATAATGGGGTCATTGATGATAACTGTGATGTTACAAATGTATTATTTTTATTAATGAAGTTATTTTTATTTTTATTTTGACAAATATGTTATAAAGTTATTTGGCAAATATGTTATGAAGTTATTTTTATTAATGAAGCCATTTGACAAATATGTTATGAAGTTTTTTTTTTTTACAAAGAAATAACAAATGCTGTTACCAATCGTCTAGGGACACTTATCTAATAGAAATTGTGTTGATGGTCATTTACAGTGGTCTGTAACAAGTTGATTGTTTACTAACTGTGTTGGTACCATTTTTCAACGAGCAATTACTGAGTAGTATATAAAGATTTTTTTCGTAAATGTGAGAAAATTTTATATACAATAATCACATGTAAAATAATTACATGTAAAATACAGTAAAAAAAGTACATGTAAAATGTAATTTTCAATATAGATAGGTCGTGTTGGGCCTGCCCCTTCAAGCCCCTTAGTACTATATCCTCCAGTATGTAATCACATATTGATCGAATATAAAAATATAAACCCATATACAAGGCTTCGAAACTACTCCAAGCTTTTAAGATGGAAGATCACAATCCTTTGATTTTCTTGATGAGATTGGTTTTTCCACAGGGTGACAGTGGCGAAATGCGACCTAACCAGCACGCATGGGAGAAGTGGTCCAATATTGAAACAGAGAGGGAGGTGGCTAAGCTGATGGAAGAAGATGTTGGGGCGGCTATGCAATACCTTCAGTCAAAATCACTTTGCATCATGCCGATATCACTTGCTGCACTTATCTATCCCCCTACGCACCACCAATCGGGTGATTCCTCCTCAGCCATCAAGCCCGAACCATCTGCCCCTTCATAGAGATCTCGCGCCAGTCGCAAATTCCTAATTGCCCCCTTCTTTGTCCCGTCATATGATGTATCTTAAAATCCTACAGTCACTTCCACCGTTCCATTCCAGTGCGCGTGCAGTGCAATCCAAGTCAGATGCCCTTGGCCACTTGTCAAACAAGGTATGATGCCTTGATGGAGGCAAAAGGCACTTAATCCCATTACTGTTGATATGCTCAAAAATAGGTGAGCGTATTATTGTTCAAACTTAATATGTCTATCATCTATTCGTTCAGGCTTTCTTTAGTGGGATCGTGGGGACAGTTTTGTTTGTATGACATTGTAAAAGCACTGAACTCGTGCATGTAAGTATTTGTTGGTTTTATGTTAATTAGTATTGTTGAAACGATGGTGCAAGTTCAGTTTGTCTCTTCACAGTGATGTTAGTTTGAGTCAGACTCCACTGGAAATATGATTATATCGGTTTACTCCTAGAATTACTCTTTCTAAGGGAAAGGTGAAGAGAGTTACTCATGTGGTAATTAGAGCGCTCATCCTTTCATTTTTTGTTGTTGTTACTCCGTATTTGATAAGGAATAGTTGATAAATACTCCGTATAACTCATTTCCACGATCTTCTAAATGACTTGAACTCTACAGGGAAAAAAGATAGTCATTATATTGATCGATCCGGGAATAATTGCTGTATAACCATCCTAAACTTAAGAAAACATTCTCATCTGGGTAAACCTGTTTTTTCTTAGTTCAGTGAAATTAGGTGAATCAAGATGCAATCATGCAAGTACAAGACGTTTGGATAGTACTATGATCAGTACAATCGACGTATAATCTCAACGTAGGAGCTTTAGGATCAGAGACGCATTGTATAACCACATATAGGGTCAGTGAATACACTTCATTTTAAGAGAGCCCAGGGATAACCTGTGGCTCTCGGCCTCATGACACACATCGTAGAGGAAGGTTGGCATTTGTGGCCAATACATTATATATAGACATGACTTAGTGTTGAACTTGTGAGGGCGGTTGGCTGAGCCATTGTCCCTCCCATATATGACAAAGAACAACACCGAAAGCCAAATAAGCTGAAACTGTGGTTTGTCCATGGCCCGGGTGCCCTTATTTCAGGCCATGGTAATACTGTGATGGTGGTGTAAGAACTAGGGGGGACGACATGCGAACAATGGGACATAAATTAGAGCACCGTTGCAATGTAAAAGCCTAGAATTGATTTCTCTGGTTTCCGAGGAAACGTGAACCTGCCCGTCCAGGATGTGAGTTCTGAATCTAGGTTCATTGAAGTGAGGGAGCTAGAAAACCTTACACTGCTGGGGCCAATGTTCAAAATTGTATATTAGGGAGGAAAGCTCTCTAATGTGACTATGTGAGTATTATATATATGCACACAGTCTACACACACAATTAGAAAATTTAAAAGGGCCGAGCCCCTCCGTGGCTCCACCACTTCTTCAATGGGAATAGATTTAGGATATCAAAACTCCTTTGTACATTTACGCCTGAAATAATAATATACACTTCTTGTTCGTTGGGGATTTCAACAAGAACAACAGGACCAACATTAATAAAAATATTACAGGATTGATAATGAAACCTCCATGGTTTTCTTGCTTTAAATTAGGCGAAGAAAAATAGACAGTTATGGCATTACAACACAAAATAAAACTCTTTTGTCACTTCTCAGTTGTAGTGTAGAGAACACACACAAAAAACAATATACTCTGATGGATGGATGGATGGATGGATGGATGGATGAGTTTTTTAGTTCCAACTCATACATATTTTGGGCTTCATGATTTGTGCTATTTCATTGTCCACACCCCAAACCTCTTGCCTCTGATCCTCTCATGATTCTTAACCTCTTGCACGATGACAAGAACATTCTGCAAAATGATACCAAAGCATATCATTACTAAACGTAACTTTTTTGTAAACTAACTAATACAAGAATAGTGAAGATAGATGGATGGAACTTACCCCCAAGGAACATCTCCAATAAGCATCAAGTCACCATCTTTATCTTCATAAGCTGGGGCATATTCAGATCCTTTGTAGCCTTCCCTCTCAGAGTAATCCCCTATTGTGAGTTTGAACATCTTCTCCAAACCACTAAGCAGTTCGGGATATCCTCCGTACATCTTGAGGTCAATCTTTCTAAGGTAAGGTGCTCCATCCATGCTCACTTTTACATACATCCCATTCTGGTTTCCATCACCTCCCCCATCTCCCTTCTTTGCCTGGAGGGTGTTTTTCCTGTATGATTTCACCGGAGGCCATCCCACAATCTGTGACCTGCATTATAATAATAATATGAATCAGTAACTCGTTTGGGCAGATCAATCTTGAAACACATGAATCTTCTTCTTCTTTAGAGTCTTAGCCGGGCGGATCACCAATTCGAAACATATAAATAAGATTTAATGATCCATTCTGAAAGGTCTGCATGAAGATAATAAAACTTACTTGGAAACAGGTGAGGGATCAGCTTTGGATTCGCAATCTTCAGCTTCTGATTCTAGAAAGGCCCTCTTGTGGCTTTTGGCAGTCGACACTACTTCCTGTTCACACTCTTCCTCAGTTCTTCCAGGAAGCCCCAACCTGAGCTCAGTCGCAATGAGACTCATCACATCATTCTCATGTCCCAATACACCTTTCATTTTCTTCTATCGTTCGGATCAACTCCAAAGATTGTGTTTTGCTTATGGAAAGAGACGAGCTTGATACAAAGTGTAGTGGAAACTGTTGGTATATATAAAGACCAGTGAAAGGGAATCATCAATTTAAATTGGATCTATTTTTTTTCTAAATAATTTGGGGTTGGGGGCATAAATTTGGGACAGATGGAAGGGGCGTTGTCTGGAGCGTGAAGAGGGAGATGGGGGCAAATGTCCGGAGATTTAGGGGACAGGAGAGAGACAAGGGTTGAGAAGGCCATATGGGAAGGACTTGTGATGGAAAAGAGCTTTCAATTTTGGGGGCAGTGGGAGCTAAATCTGGGACCGTTGTGTTTGTGCTTGGCTACTCTGCTTCAAACACACCAGTTAGAATCCCATAATATGGTGTACCACCATGTTTGGCGGGTTAACAATGATGGATCAAGGGGTCCTACTTGGGCAACTATTCACTATATAAGCAGCATAAAAAATACGGAGTACATGTATATATAGAGTCGATAAAAATGGTATTCCGTAGAAAGTGCGAACGACTCCAATTTCTATCATTTTTATACACTATTGGACTCGGATCGATTTTCCTCTATCCACTTTTGATGATATACGGTACATATTGTTTTAATGAAATCCTTTTTTTGCAATGAAGAAACAAGTAATTTATTTACGAAAAATGTCACCACATTTTTATCCATTTAGAGTCATTCTAAATCTGATCCATAAGATCCATTCTTACTTTGTATATTCATGGGAAGAACGCTTTTATTTGGTTCAAAGTCTATATGTATACACATTATGTGTGTGTATACACATACTTCAATATATTGCAACCCGTGAGAAATTAGAATCAATTCATCCATTAGGTTTTGCCATTATACACCATAAGAAACGAAATGTGCACCGTCATTAAACAATAAAATGCACTGTCATAGTTTTTTTTTACCAAATACTCCGTACTATTTTACGAAGTATTTGACAATATTAGTTGAGTCTCGTATTTGATAAAAAATCAACATTTATGTTTTTTTGCCTGAAATCAATGGACTGACAATAAATGACAATTGTACCCACATCTTTTAGATATTCAACGTGCATTAGCAAAAAAGTTAATTAAATTAAGAGAAAAAGTGTCAGATAGGTCCTTGAGCTTTCATAAAAAGGGAAAAGAAGTACTTATATAGGAGGCTATGTCCAGCCGTCACCATTTGGAGTGGTTCCCAGTGGAATTTTTTGATGAAATTTTTTTAGCATCTTATTCATTAAGTCTAGTTTACTCATACCAAATTTCAGCTAAAACTTCAATCGGTAACGCATTCAAATTAATTCTTGAATATAATTGCGCTTTTAACTGTGTATATTGTGTATATTTGTTCAGGTGTATATTTGTTCCGAAAATAAATTAAAGATATATTTGTTCTCACACCCATAATACAGGAGTATATTACTATATTTGTACTTTTTCCCAAAAATAAATGATTAGATAAATTGAAAATAAAGGTTAGTAAAGAAGCTCTTAGAAAGATGAGTATAAGGTTTTCTCCTATCTCACTTATTTTCCCACCTTGGATATTGCAAGTAATTCGGAACGGAGGAAATGTTGTGATACTGAGCTTTTTTAAGTGACGGGACAAAAAAGTTATTTTTAATTTTTTATAGTATTGTTTGCAAATTGCAAGTTGCAACATAGCCACATGATTGATATGAAAAGAGAAGCGGTTCCAGTGAAAACATAGCAATTGTTTAAATAATGTGTGTACATATATTTAATTGAATTCAAGTTATGGAATAAAAATGTTAGGACACTTGAATTTGACGACCTTTCATTGATTCCAATCCTATCAGACCACTTCATTTTTACTCACGTACGTATTCATCGTAGCTTTAATTTCAGATCACATCCTCCAATCTGCAACTCAATGGACTTACATATCCAATCTAGTGAGTGAGTGGGGTTCAAATTTAAAAGGGCCCACGCTTGAGATGATGTCCGCCCTTAGCTACCTTGTCTTAGAGCCCGTTTGCTGTTTTGGCTGATTCTGCTGAAATTTATGATATTTTGGTTGAAGTGGCTGCATTGGCTGATTTTGTTGATTTAAGAGATATTTTTCGAAAAATATATTTTATTAATAAAATTAAGAAAAAATTATATGCAAAAATTGCAAAAATAGTTATCTACACTAACTTCAGCCAATACAGCCAGAAAAGTAACTACAACCTTACTTTTGCTACTTATTATATAATTCAGCGCGCGAAAGAAAAAGTTACGTGTTTGGTGAAAAAGTTATCTGATAAGTCGAAAAACTGTGTTGCCAAACGGCTTCTTAATTGACAACTTGAATTAGAAATTTCCGGGAGACGTTTTCAAATTCCGAAATAAGATCTTCATGTTTTTATTCCTTAAATAAGAGTAACTTCTGTTAGGTTTGGAAAAATTTGACAGAAACTACCATGTTGGGGAAATTGCTCAGAATGTCAAACTTGGCAGAAATTGCTCATATTGGGGAAATAAAAACATTGTAGTTCTATTTTGGAATTTCAAAACTTTTTATGCATATTTAGGGAATTCCCCCCAGCTTGAATTGGTATGGGACGAGTTACACAGTTTGATTGAGTCCGAATCTTATACACTTAGGGGGTGTATGGATCTGATTCTTAAAAGTGCGTCTCCTCCCTTAGGGAGCAGAAGGAGAAGTTGGAGTGCTTGGGTGAAAGTGTAGAAGTGATTTTGATGCTCTAATTTACTCCTAGAATCAGTTTTTTTAGAAGCTGGGAGAGACCAGCTTCTAAAAACTGATTCTGATTCTGTTTCTGCTTTAAAAAGAAGCACAAGCAGAATCAGTTCCAAACACCCCCTAATTCTAAATCCAACAAATCTTGATATTGAATTCGGAACAATAAACTAACGATTCTGGACCCGCAACAATGTGTCGTCCTCGACCCGACCCAATTGATTGGCGTAGATTTAACGGGAGAAAGATCAAATAAGACACTCTGATTGCATGTGAATTTCAATTTGCCCATTAGGGTTTCAAGCTATGTTTAAAAACCGACCCGGACCAGCCGGGTTGACCCAGAACCCGATAATCCGGACCAAAACCCAGTTCGGTTAGTTAAAACCCCAGAAATGGTTAAAAACCGTAAAACCCGGCAGACACGGTAAATCCCGATCCAGGCCCTTACCCAGAAAACCCGACAAACCCGGAAATATATGAAATGGGACCTGCAATAGCAGAAGTAGTATTACTGGAGTATGAAATTCCAAATTCAAAATATTTTAAAATACGCTGTACACACATGCATACTCCCTATTAATCATACATATAAATATGGAATATAATGTACGGAGTATATATTAATATATACTTCACTTTTTTATCGACACAAAAAGTATGTAAAACCCGACAAAGTATTTTTTTAACTTCAAAGCAATTTAAACAATGAAGTTCCAATTTCAAAATATATATATGCTTTATGTACTACTTATTTGTTTAAGAATAAAAATCATATCAAATTATAGAAATAATTACATAAATAACGAATACATATACCAAATTATATACTCCGTAATACATATACAATAAAAATAACGAATACGGAGTATCATTATATATTTTAATAAGATCAAAATGATATTTTGGAATTTTATGACTTTTAACTTTTAAATGTTTAGTAATATGTATAATCATTAGTGGATTATTATGAAATAACTACCTTTTATTTTAATTTTTATACAATTATATGTTTATTATTATTATTATATGGTTGATCGGTTTTATTGCATTGACCAGGTTGACCGACCGGGTCCGGATTGACCCGTAACTCAGGGATGGGGTGTTATCCTTTTTTTTTAGTAAAGTGATGATAAAGTAAGAAAGAAAGTGTATTAAGAAGAGTAAAGTGATGGTAAAGTAGGAAAGAGAAAGTAGTTTGTAGAAAGTAAGTGGGGTAAAAGTAATAAAAGTGGGAGTATTTTCTCAAAAACTTTCCTTAAAGGGAAAAGATGCAAATAAAAAAAACGTCCTAAAAAGGAAAGAAGAACTAATAAAAAAGAATGGAGGGAGTATAATAATTGGTACTACTTCTGCTATTGAAGGTCCCATTTCAGATATAATTAAATCATAAATACACAATTTTATTTTTATTTAATCTAAATATAGTAAAAAGAAAAAACATTGAATGATAGAGGTCGGTATACAGATCAGTAGTACAAATGAAGAAGACATGAGTACATCCTCATACCTTGCATGTACTTGGAAAGGGTGACACCGACATGCAGATGGCATCCTGGCTTACAAGTGTCTCTGGGCTTCTTGTCGATCGATCTTCGTTTAATTTCAAAAGGGCCTGTACAGCTTGGACTTTCTTCAAAGGGCATACTATAATGTACATTTAAATATGGAATATAATGTGAGTACATATTAATATATACTTCACTTTTTTATCGACACAAAAATAAGACTAGATTTGTTTCAATGTATATTATAAAGTACGTCCTCGGTTATCAATTTTGTTTTTATATATATAATATTCATTAATTCCAAAATTGGTAGTTTCAATATTATACGTAGTATATACGCAATGTATATATATATATATATATATAGATTTTGGTTCAAATGAGAACAAACCTTAACGTAAGAAATGAGAATTAATCTTGGCCGTTTATATCAAGCCTTTGTTTCCTTAGATCTATCTTTTACGTGAGGGCATTTTAGTAATGGATCCAAGTTCATTTTTATGGTAATTACGTTTGTCTTAATCCGTAATAATGATTTCCGTTTTTTATGGAAGCTTCATTATTATTAGGTTATCTTCTACTACGTATATCTTACTACGTATAAGTATAATATATAATAATATAGCATGAACTGGTGAAACATATTATGAAGGGAAAAGGTGCAAATAGGCCCATGTACTCACCAAAAAAGGTCAAATAAGCCCTTATTTAGGAAGTTATGTCCGGCCGTCGTCATTTGGGGTGGTTCCCGGTGGATTTTTTTGATGAAATTTTTTGAGCATCTTATTCATCAAGTCTAGTTTGCTCATACCAAATTTCAGCTAAAACTTCAATCGGGAAGGCATTCAAATGAATTTTTGAAGGTAACTGCGCTTCTAACTGCGCAGTTATTTTCAAGAATTCATTTGAATGCCTTCCCGATTGAAGTTTTAGCTGAAATTTGGTAAGAGTAAACTAGACTTCATGAATAAGATGCTCAAAATATTTCATCAAAAAATTCCACCGGGAACCACTCCAAATGGCGACGGCCGGACAAAGCCTCCTAAATAAGGGCTTATTTGACCTTTTTTGGTTAGTACATGGGCCTATTTGCACCTTAATGGAATTATTTGCAATACACTTTACATATAATGGAATTATATTTAGGCATTTTTTTCTTGTAGAAAATAGTTTATTTGCAATACACTTTACATATGTTATTGTGCATTATTAAGTTCACGTGATGCAATATTGTATTTTTAGAATCAGATACTGCGTATATTATTTTACTTTTTGCAACCTTTGGATTATTATTATCACTTCCTAATTTT